TACCAGCCTCCGCCAGCTGATGCTATGACCAAACCCCAACAACCCCAACAACCCTCACCCACTCTGTTTGTAGATTGCACCAATGGGAATAGTCAGCCCAGCCAAGTTTTCACCCTATCTGGTCCACATGAGGTGTGCAGGTGCTGTGGCCCTGCCTGGTCTGGTTTACCCAGCTCACGCTCTCCAGTGGAAGTAGCTGTTCAGCTAGGGAACCATCCCTTATTCCCTTGCCAGCTCTGCCTCCTCCCTTCCTGATTCTCACCTGTGCTGGTTGGGTGCTGCGGCTGCATCCGGTTCAGGCTACCTCACCTTGGCATTCCAAGTTGTGTATTGCTTCTGTCGCGACCGGACCTGGTTCGACCCACACTCTGTTCTGGCGTTCGGATTTACCAGTGGATGACATAAACAGATTCATCCTGGTCTGCCCGAACCATGCCAAATGCATGCCAGTGGGACTCTTTCTATGACCTCTTGGCTGTTGCCTTGCATGTTTCTTGTGCTGACCTGCAGGGTCTATGTCCTGCCAGAGGAGTTGCCCGGGCTCCTCCATCAGAACCCCTCCAAGTGCCAGGTTTCATGCATACCAGTGGGTCCATGTGCCACTTCGCCTCCTGTCCTAGCATGAACAGTGGCCTTTCTTAACTGGCCTTCATCCCATTCTGGTTCTTGCTGTAGGATGTTGCAGCCCAGCCACGGCTTGTCCACACCCCCATATAGCTCGCATATGGCTCAGTTGGGGTTGAGACCTAGCCTAGTCTGTCCCACATCTACCCTGGTCCTCCAGAGCACCAGATGGTGTTGCAGTCTGGCCCGGCCCAGTATGTCTTATTCCAGTCCACACTTGTGCCAAGGGAGACTATAACTGTATCCTGACCCGACCGCAGCCCCATCCACCTATCACGACCCCTGCCTTAGACACCGTGGCTCAACTCTGTGGTTAATGTAGACCAGTTGGTGCCAAAACCTAGCTGGGCATGTCCTGAGCACCCTGTTTGCCAATCATGCTTGTGGGCTAAGGTTTTCTCAGTCCAAACCTTCAGGTCTCAGTCCCACGCTTGCCCTAAAGTTTCATGTCCCTGTTCCTGGGAATCACCAGCAATTCGTGTCTCACCTACACTAAAGTTGGCCTTATTTATGGATGTCCCTAAGCAGCTATTTCATATCATAAAAACCCCAGAGCTTGCTGCTGGGAAACCAGCAGGCAGAGGCTGGCACCATTTGATACACTGGCCGCCCAAAGCCGAGGACTCAGCCCATGAGGAGCTTTAGTTGCTTCCGGGCCAGGAGAATGCCGAAGCATCTGTCCTCGCCTTGCTGCGGAGACTATGGCCGAGTCCCCTATGGCCGAGTCCCCGGTGGGGTTCCGTCTGGCAGGAGCGCCCCCGACAAGTGCCACCTTGAGGGGGCGTTAAGCCTGCTCCTTGCCCTGAGACTGGGACCCACCTGATCTAGGGGACTTTGCGGCGGGGACTATGGCCGAGCTCTACCTCTTATCTTAAACCGATAACAGACTACACTTGATTTAGCCAAAAGGCTAAGAAGTGATCCATCCCCAATCTTGCTACCTGAGAAGAGCAGTGCAGAATAGCCCAATCCTTAAGTCCTGCGTCCGTGTGTGAGATCTGGATGAAGTTTCAGGCTTCTACTTTGGCTTGGCCCAGTCCTGGCCATTGTGGCGATTTGGAAAGTGGATGGAAGGTAACTGTTTTTCATTCTCTACCCCGCCTTTCTTTCTTTCCCTCTCTTCCCTCCTTTCTTTTTTCATTTTTTTTTCTTTTCCTCCATCGTTTCCTGTAATTTTGCCTTTCAAATAAATACATCTTAATTTTATCAGTATCATGTAGTAAGTTTAATTCAGTTGTTAGAGTGGTTATAATTTAGACTGTAAGAACCTTTTTGAAAATACATTTATTTTATTTTTGATGATGTTTACATAGCTGAGAAGGATATATGCCCATGTGAGCCACTGGTCAGGGTTGGGTCAAGATATGGGCGAAAGTGGATGAAACATTGGCTTCCAATTTTTTACCTGCATCTGGGGGAAAGTTGAGAGAGGGGACAAGGCTGTTCCAAGCAGCCTAACCAGATCAGAACCAGAGGATTTGGGGTAACCACTGGATGTCATTCTAGGGTACTCAATGTGGAGCAAGTTCTGAGTGTACTGCTTAATTGGCTTCAGTAATTCTGAGATGCTGTGCTTTTGTTGCTCCAAGATTAAAGAAATTCTTTCAATGTCCATTGGCTGACATAGTCCATCTCAAAGCCTCCACTCACCCACATACATGCTGTCAAGGCTTGGCTGAGAGAGTTGTCCAGTTTGTTCTGCCGTCTATCCTCTGTTATGGTACTAGATGTCTTCTTTAGGCCCCGTGAGCTATTAGGTCCCCATGTACATCTGGGCATGCTGTTCACTCCCCAGGCTTCAGCAATTGAGGAGGCCCAGTTCTGACACATGCTTTCCATGGATAGACCACAGATCCTGTGATTTTCCCTGAGGTAAGAATTTTGAGTTCAGGGGTCCACTTGGGAGGGTCTCCAAAAAACCCTGCCTGAGGTGACCCCAGATGTGACTCCTGTGTGTGCCATTGAGTAGGTTGTCCAGCTCATTATGACACCCACATCAGTCTACACACACAGTGGTAGATTCCATTGCCTAGTCAGTTCTGTTCCCAGCCTTATTACATATACAAACCAACAGATACTGTGGTCCATCTCAACCCTGCCCACCACACACTCAACCCTCATACAAGCAGGACCTGCACCCTGGTCTGAACAATCCCTAGTAACCTCCACCAGACCTGCCTCCAGTTCTAGTTCCTACTCACGGCAGTATGTGCAACGGACAGGCCCAGTCTGTCTTCTTCCCATTTGGCTCCAATACACAGAAACAGGTGTTGGAGCCAATCTTAGCCCAACTGACCCCACTGTCCAGACCATGCTTATGCCACTGGGTGCTACCTCCTATCCAGTCAGGCCTGCTCCCAGTCCTGTCATGCTCACAGCTGCAGCCCATCAGAGAGGTGGCCACGATTTGCCTACTAGGCTCACTTCCAACTCCAGATTTTGTACTTTCCAGGTTTTACTTGCCAACTGGTGCTGTGGCAAAGCCCAACCAGCTTGAACTTACTCTGGCTCACGCGTGTTCCGCCAGCAGATATGGTCACTTAGCCCAGTCTCTCTCTCCCCTCTAACCCAGTTTGCATGCAGGTTAACAGGTGTTGTAGCCCTGCCCAGCCTGTCTGCTCCAAGTCCCAGCAGGTATGCTGGTGAGTGGAAAGGCAGATCAAATTTACACAGAAAAGGCGAGACAGAGAGACCTTCAATCTGCTGCTTCACTCCCAAACTGGCCACAAGGCCAGAGCTCAGCGGATGTCAAACCAGGAGCCAGTAACTTCTGGGTCTCCCACATCGGTGCAGAGTCTAAAGGCTTTAGACCATCCTCTACTGCTTTCCCAGTGAGTTGGATGGAAAGTGAAACAGCCAAAATATGAACTAGCACGCATATGGGATGCCAGCACTTGTGAGGTGAGAATTTAGCTGCTGAGCCATTGTGTTGTCCTTCCCCCACCTTCTAAGATTTATTTGTTTATTTTTTGTTTTGTTTTGTTTTTCACTAGAAAGACAGATATACAGAGAAAAGGAAAGACAGAAAGGTCTTTCAGCCACAGCCCCTGAATGGCCACAACTGTCAGAGTTGAGTTCATCTGAAGCCAGGAGCCTCCCCAGGTCTCCCATGTGGGTATATCATCCAGTACCTTTGCCCATTCTCTGCTGCTTTCCGGGCCATAGGCAGGGAGCTTGATGGGAAGTGGAGATGCTGGAGTATGAACCAGCCCCTACAGGGGAGCCAGCAATTGTGAGGATCGTTGTTGCCTGACCCAATTTTATTATTTTTTTGAGGCTGAATGATACTCTATCGTGTATACCACTAATTGATGGTGATATGAAGACAGGGAGAGTGGAGAGACAGGGAGAGTTTTTTACTCCAACTTGCATGGATTAAATGTACCAAGGCAGATGCTGTGGTGTAGCAGGTATGGGTACTAATTTGAGTCCAGGTTGCTCTTGCTCCACTTCTGATCTAGCGCCTTATTAATGTACTGGGAAAGCAATTGATATAATCCAAGTGCTTGGGCCCCTACACCCACATGGTAGACCTGGAAAAAACTCCTGGCTCCTGGCTTCAGATTTCCTCAGCTCCAGCCTGTGTGGCCAATATGGGGAATGCAGCAGCAAGTGGAAAGTCTCTATGTTTACCCCACTCTCCCTGCAGCTCTGCCTTTCAAATTAATAAATAAATCTCTAAATTTTTTTGGTATCAAAATCATTTGTGATATGAAGTAGTGGGGGAAGATCTGTTTCTCCTTCAGTCTCCCTGTTACCATATCTTTCACATTGTATCATTTTAGAAATGATTTTATTTATTTAAAAGTCAGATTTACAGATTGTGAGAGATGTAGCTGTAGGGGCCCAAGCACTTGGATCATCCCCTGCTGCTTTCACAGGCACAGGGAGCTGGATCAAAAGTGGAGCAGCCGGAACTGGAACCTGCACCCATGTTGGGATGCTGGTGTTGCAGATAGCGGCTCAGCTGTCCATACACTGTAGTGTCATTTCCTAAGTATTTATTTTTAAAAATATCTGTCTACATCTTTGTTACCCTGATCTATGTTGAACATATATCTCTGTATCTCTAAAATAACTATGTTATTTCAACTGTTTATGTTTTACAAATGGTGAGCTCCTTTTGGGGTCAAGTATTTTTCATCCTGTTCTTTGTAGGAAAAATATGTGTTATTAAGAGAAACTGTGGTCTTGGAATTATGAGGTTTATTGGCAGGCAAAATATTTACATTATGGCTTTTCCTCATACTGTCATATAGGGTGCCAAGTAAGTTGCATCTTATATAAGATGTGTGTAAGATACACACAAAAGAATGCACTTCCATAATTATTTTATGATTCAGCCTGAGATGCTCAACAGAAATTTCATATTGCAGGTGTTTGTGTCATTTGAGGATGTGGCTGTGTTCTTCACCTGGGAGGAGTGGCAGGAGCTGAACAGTGTTCAGAGGACTCTGTACAGGGAAGTGATGCTGGAGACCTACAGCAACCTGATGTGTTTGGGTGAGTGGAAGACCTCAGTGCCATCCAAGTAGAATGCCTTCCTTCCAGTTGAAAAATAAATGAACCCTTGATATTACATAGGTGTTATGATGACAGTGCACAGAGAATGTGAACCTCAACATTCCATAGTGGGGGAATCATACCAGCCCTTTGATTGCACAGCTTCTGAAGATGAACCCCTGCCATTCTGCTGAGGATCTGACTGAACAGTTTTACATATTGCTCTGTGTTGTTTCCCATTCATAGGTTGCTGCATTTCCAAGCCAGAAATCATTTTCAAGTTGGAGCAAGGATTAGAGCCATGGGTTGTAGAAGAACCTATAAGCCAGAGCCTACAAGGTCAGTCTGTACATATGGGGCTGGGAGTTTGGGACAAGAGCTCACCAGATGTTGTTTGTGCCGGGGTGTTATCAGCAGATTTTCCCACGTCTCAGTCCTGCTGACAGCTGAGATTATGTGCATCAGACACTGGCATTCTATAGTCTCTGCTTAAGGTTCTTAGAAATGTATTTTTCTTCTGTGTTGTTATTGGATATTTTCAATGCCTTCTCACCTTTCCTTTATGTTGGTTAGAGTTGGCCTCTAAATTCTCAGTTTTTTCCTCTATCTTATACTCTTATTATCCTTCAAGCCTTTATTCACGTTTATTCTTTAAATGCTTGTCAGTTGGGCAGATTATACGTATTTAGCTTTTTGCAGTTGTAAGGGAGTATAGTGAAAGGAAACAGGTATGTCTTCATTTAAAGAGCTTGCATTCTCTGGAGAGAGGAAAAGAAATAACAAATGGATTCGGTGGTTAGGTTAGACATACAGAAAGTTTTATCAAAATGAGAGAATGAAAAAGTGCCATGTGTTCTTGTATTTGGGGTCCTAAAAGAATGTAATGTTAGAGACATGAATTGCTTACCTCAATATTGAGATGAAAAGCTTTCTAATTCTGAAGTACTATATGTTGGGGCATATAAAATCCAAAAAAAGACAGTATCCTGTCTTTTATTTTTTAAAAAAAAATATTTATTTCAAAGACAGAGAAACAGCAAATCAAACAGAGGTGCTGGTTCACTCTCTAAATGCCGGCAACGCCTACGTCTCCACGTACTCTGAGCTGAGCGGAAGGACTAGAGTTAATAAACAAAAATCACACACACACACACTGGGTCATTTGTGTAAGAATGCCGTTTATTGGAAACCCAGGCTGTCTTAATATACCCTGCCTAGTTCCTCTTGGGGAGTTTTTCCCAGCTCTTTGGCCATTGAACGTCTCACGTGTATCAGGGAGTTTGCAGTTAGGTCAACATGAACCCATCAGTCATGTAGGGGTGTTGTGCCCTGTTGATCGGCCCGCAGTTTCTCAAGCTTTCTCAAGCGCAGTCAGTATGAGAAAAAGCAAGATTAGTGCAGCAGGCATACCTGGTGAGGTTAACCCTTGGAGGGATGGGCCCTGCATCCAAATGATGGCAACATTTATAGCTAAGCCAGGTTGATACCAGAACCTCAGAACTCTTTCGGTCTAACATATGGTCAGCAGGAATATAAACTCCTTTTTTTAAAAAAAATTATTTATTTTGATTGGAAAGTCAAATATATAGAGAGAGGAGGAGAGACAGAGAGGAAGTTCTCGTGTCCAAAGATTTACTCCCCAAGTGGCCACAATGGCTGGAGCTATGCCAGTCTGAAATCAGGAGCCAGGAACTTCCTCTAGATCTCCCATGCAGGTGCAGGCTTTGGGCTGTCCTTGACTGCTTTCCCAGGCCATAGGCAGGAAGCTGGATGGGAAAGTGGAGCTGTTGGGATTAGAACCAGCGCCCATATGGGTCCTGGCATGTTCAAGGCGAGGACTTTAGCTGCTAGACCGTCGTACCAGGCCTGGGTTATAAACTCTTGAGCCATTATTGTATGGCTTCCAGAGTATGCATTAGCAAGAAGCCAGATTGGAGACAAAGGATCCAGGACTGAAACCAGACATTCTGTAATTGGATCTGAATATCACACACGGTTGCTAAACCTCTGTGGAAATTGTTTGCTTCCTAATTTGGGATTTTATAGAGGTTGAAAAGGACATGAGAAAAGGGATTGGCATTCCAGTACAGTGTTTTGTGCCATGTCCCATATCTATTTAAGTCCTCACTGCCGTGCTTCTGACCCAGTAATCAGCAAATGGGTCTGAGAAAGCAGCAGATGGCCCAGGTGCTATCACCCATGTGGGACACTGGGTGGAATTTCTGGCTCCTGGCTTTGACCTGTCTCAGCCTTTTTATGTTATTTGTTTATTTATTAAAGATTTATTTATTTTTATTTGAGAGGCAGATTTAAAGAGAGAGAAGGGGAGACAGGGAGAGAAATCTTACGTCTGCTGTTTCACTCAGCAGATGGCTGTAATGGCCAGAGCAAAGCCAATCTGAAGCTAGAAGCCAGAAGCTTCTTCCAGCTTTCCCATGTGGGTGCAGGGGCCCAAGGACTTAAGCCACCCTCACTGCTTTTCCAGGCTATAAGGAGAGAGCAGGATTAGAAGTGGAGCAGCTCAGGCTTGGACTTGTGTCCCTATGGGATTCTGCCACTGCTAAACCAACTCCAACCCCTCCAGCTATCTTTTGGGGAGTTAACCTGCAGATGGATGATCCCCATCTGTCTCTCTGCCTTTCAAATAAATAAACCTTTATTAAGTAACATGAGAATAGAGATTCAGAAATGAACCTTACATACCAGAGCATTAGAAATTTTGGTGCCAAATAGGACCCAACATAAGAGCTTACAAAATGTCAGTCCTAGCCTTGGGAGGTAGACCAGGGTATTCTGAGTTCAAGGAACAAGTGAGCCAACAGATTAGTGTTGAAGGACTGGAGTTTGGGAATAAAATTTGAAGTTGTCTGTGCAATAGGTAACAATAGAAATACAAACATAGAAAATGAACATTCAAAGCAGGGGATTTTCAGGTAGGAGTATGCATAAGGAAATGAGTGGAGAATGTCAAGACTATTACCTCGAATGGGGTCAGACAGTTTTCCAAGATAGTGGTCTCAACGTGGGTTGCAGGACTGACTCCTGTAGTCCAGCAGAGAGGATGTATTCTGAGTGTTAGGCTGTTACTTTTTTGTTTCTCTTATGATGCTGAGAAACAGATGTCAGCTTTCTTTAGGAATGTGGTATGTATAGCCTTAATGTAGTGTGAAGAAGAGACATTGCATTTGAAAAAATCCCACAAATGGCTACAGTCATTCCTTGGGGAATAGTGGGTGTAGAAAAACACAGGTGCATAGCATGTTCTTAAACCATGTTTCTAGTTATGTTACAGACACATGCCTTCATCTACGCATCAATAATTGTAGAAGCCTTGTAGCCTTCCAAGCTGAAAGAGAAACAAAAAAGAAGTACAAAACATAATTAGATGAAAAAATAGAAAAAAGGACAATGGGAAAGTGACTGATAAAAAGTTGTTTGCTTGATATTAGTGCTAGGCAGTAGATCAATATTTTGGCTAAATATTTCCCTGTTAAAAGGGAAATAAAGCAATTGGCAAAAATCCTATTTCACATTGGAAAATCTGCTAACATGATTTGCTATGTTGATTCACCGGGGAGAAAAAGTATGTATTGTCACAAATGAATATCATTTATTGCTATTCAAAAATGTTTTCATTGTGATAGGAAAACACTGTTTTGTCTTTGTGAACATTCCAAGAGAAACATTTAGATACAGTTTATGAATGTGATGTGATTTTTTTTTTCTCATTTCAGTTATCCGGAAAATGGATGACCTGATTGAGACTCGTCGGGAAACTCAAGATGTGATTTACTGGGAAGTTGTGATGACAAATCGCAGCATATCTACCAAGGAGAATGCAGATTTAAGAGATATATTTAATGTAAAACCCAATCATATGTCAAAACTGATCATGAAGGATGGAAATTATGCAGAAATGGGTCCTGAGGAGTACAGTGCCTATCAGAATACTCTTTTTGGTGAGCCTGATGATATGTGGGCTGGAGAGAAACATGACGAGCCTCGGAAGCCTTTTCAACTCTATGAGTATCATGATCAGCATCTCAATGTTCACTCTTTGCCACAGACTTTTAAGCAGGATGGACAGAAGAATGCTTTTGATAGTGAGACAATGTTCCTTACACACAAGTCAGACCTATCAGTCCATCAAATGACACACACAGGAGAAAATCCTTATGCATATACTGATTGCGAAAAATCTTTCACTTGTAAACCAAACTTTCCCATTCGTCACAGCATTCATCCAGGAGGTAAGTCCTATTGGTGTAATGAATGTGGAAAAAGCTTTTGCCGGAAATCAAACCTCCATCGACATCAGAGAACTCACACAGGGGAAAAAACCAATGAATGCAATATTTGTGAAAAAAGCTTTTACCAGAAGTCAGACCTTATCATACATCAGAGAATTCACACAGGGGAAAAGCCCTATGAGTGCAGTGACTGTGGAAAAACTTTCTGCCGTAAGTCCAGCCTCAGGACACATCAGAGACTGCACACAGGTGAGAAATTATATGAATGTGAAGAATGTGGGAAGACTTTCTTCTACAAGTCATCTCTGTCACAACATCAGAGAACTCTGTATGAATGTAAGAAGTGTGGGAAATCATTCTACCACTGGTCTCTGTACTGTAAGCATCAGCAGACTCACACAGGGGGCAAACCCTATAAGTGTAATGAATGTGGGAAAACTTTCTGCAGGAAAGCAAACCTCATGATGCATCAACAGACGCACACTGGAGAGAAACCCTATGAATGCAACGAGTGTGGGAAGACATTCTTCCGGAAAACAAGCCTCAGCAGACATCAGCAAACTCATACGGGGGAGAAGCCCTTTGAATGTAGTGACTGTGGAAAATCCTTTTATCTGAAATCAAACCTACTTATACATCGCAGAAATCACACAGAAGGAAAAGCTTATCCATGTAATGAATGTGGAAAAGCTTTTTATCAAAAGTCGTATCTGATTATACATCAGAGAAGTCACACGGGAGAAAAACCTTATGGGTGTAATGAATGTGGGAAAGCCTTTTCCCGGAAGTCAGATCTTGTTAGGCATGAGAAAATTCAAACTGGTGGGAAATCTTATGAGTGTAATCAATGTTCTAAAACTTTTTGCCAGAAGTCAAATCTCAGGATACATCAAAGAATTCACACAGGTGAGAAAATATATGAATGTAAAGAATGTGGAAAAGCCTTTTGCAGGAAGTCGCATCTCAACAAGCATCAGAATATTCACAAGAATGGAGCAGGCATTGTGACGCAGGAGGTTAAGATGCCAGGTGGGGTTCCTACTTCCCATATCAGTGAACTAGTTAAAGTCTCAGATAGTCCACTTCTAATTCCGGTTGCTACTAATGCACTTGAGAAGACGACAGATGATGGCCCAATTAGTTGGGTTGCTGCTCCCCATGTGGAAGAGCCAGATGGAGTTCCAGGTTCTTGGATGCAACCTGATCCAGCCCTGGCTGTTGCAGACATCTGGGGAGTAAACCAGCCAATGGAAGATCTCTCTCTTTCTCTGTCTCTCCCTGTCTCTGTCACCCTGCCTTTCAAATAAACCTTTTTGAAAAATCAAAATGTAGAAGACAAACTAGGAATGCGTTGAACATTGCCAAGTCTTTTCTCAGAAGTCAAGCCTCAGCAGATGTCAGCTATGCACAGAGGCATGCTGAGTGATATGAATGTGGACAGATTTATTTTTTAATTAGAAGAGATGGAAGAGGAATCAAAAGAGTGGCCTTATATCATAGAAACTGGTTATATGTTCCTCAGTGTCTCCTCTCTTGGACATAAATCCTGCATTTTCAGCCTCTCCTTATTGTAATTGAAACTATGTAAATGATCTCTGCTGACACAGATTAATTCGGGGTATAATGATAATAACCATTCTGTAACATGCACTTGAAATGCCATTTTCATTCTTTGCAAAGTTATTTTTTGGAGATGCTGACTTATGGCCGCATGTCATTTCTCCTGTTTCATTTGTGTACATCAGCTGTGTGAGCACAAATGTGGCACATGGCTCCAAACCTGCATGATGAATGTTTTGTTTAGGGAGTGAGTCTCTAGTGCCTTTGTGGTCCAAGTAATCACAGACTTAATTGTAGATGAGCCTGGAGCTGCTTGCACTATAGGAGTCTAAAAGGCAGAGAGAAGCTGTGAGCTAAGTGTTATGACATGGAGTGCAAACAGTCTTTATGTAATTGATTTTTGTGTCAGCATTTTTTTTCCTTTGTTTCTTACACTCTGTAAGAATTTCTCACTCTTCGTTAGCTGAGTACTGACCTGACTGCATTTGTCTAACCTATATGACATTGTTTTTTTTTTTATTTCACTGAACTATTGGCAGATATTTGCATATAAACACAATAATGTTACATGTTATAATGGCTCTGTGTCTCTTAATATATTTTTCCTTTAATTTTCTCACTTTGTTCCTTAAAATCTGTGAACCTTTACACCATGCCCACAAAGCTCTTTGTGAATTCAGTTTGGGCTTGTGTTCAACTTAGATCTCCAAAGATATACTCAGAAAGAGTGTTCATGCAAATGATGTAATCATTGCTCTATACTTTGGCTAAGATGCATACTGTGGCTGGCTGCAACCAGCTGGCCCTGTCCTATTCCATCCTGAAAACATTTCTACAAATCACCCTGTCACCTCTACTGCTACCAACTTGATGAAACCCCATTGGTCATGGTCATGTTCCTTGGGCTTCTTTCACATACCAATTGCAAATACCCTACCTGGAATGTTAAGAAAATTACAGAATTAAGGAGACATAAATGATTATGGGTGTCTCATAGAAAAATTAACAGCCAAAATAATTATGCTTACTCCAGATAGTTAAGGCAAAAAGTAGAATCTATGATCATAAAATGCTGAATTATTAAGGTTAGGTATCAATTTTGAATGTCAATGCTATCACAAATGTAACTTGGCATATCTAAAGATTTAACCAAGAGAAATATATTGTGTTAGCAGGAGACTCATCTCTCTGTTGGGTTTGAGAGGCACATAGTGTAGAAAGCATGAAGAAAAGAGGCAGAAGTAATACACAGGAAAACTTTCATTATTAGCATTGCATTAGAAGTAGAATGCATCAAATAGTTAATTTCATTCATATTTTTCATTAAAGTAGAAAAACATCATCCAAGAGTTTAGTTTGCACTCTGCAGTGCAAAAGGTAATTTTAGAACTTTAATAACACATAAGATTTCCAGTGCTCCGAGTGTGAGTCTCAAAAGCAAAATTGAAAGACTCATCCACAGTGTGACTCCCTCAGAACCACCTCCAGCAAGAAGCCCGCCAAGTCTTTGATAAATCCTTAACCGCTCCCAGCAACTCCTGCAAGCAGAAGATCCAAGTCCCATCGGAGACTTGAAAAAGGATTTAAGTCTGTTTACAAATCTTGATCCTTTGTTTTAGCCTAATGCAGAAAAATTTCAGTCACATGGGCAGCTCTGTGTGTGCGCCAGTGTGGTTATATGGGGGCTCACTTGTTACTTAAGTTACTTGCAGCTGCTCATTACTGAGCTGGCGTCCCTGGTTCCTTGCAACCTCGCCTTGTCCAGAACACATGCAGCTTCTAGCCAAAACTGGTTTTCTTGAGTCTGGGCAATTGTAGTTGAATGTGCTGATGTTGAATTTGCATGCTTGACAGTGAATACCATCCTTTGCCTCTGCTCAATTGTCCTTAGTCTGAACAGGTTCAGTGTATACATAGAAGAGTATAGTGTACATTGTACACAGTTTCTGACCAAAACACATCAAGGCTAGGAGGAAGCAGTTAGATTACCATGTGACCAATGAAGGCCGATATGATAAAGATTGGTGTGACTTCAGTTGATTCTTCAGTGTTGGCCTGCTGTGTCACTGTCCTGGGGTTATGCTTGAGTTCAGTAAGAGGGAAGGAGTGACCAGAATCTGATGAAGTTCAGGAGACATGCCAAAGGAAATGAAATGAGTTTTGAAGGGTAGATGTTGCCTTTGTTACTCACCTCCAAATCTCATACCAGTAGGAAGGAAGCACAACACTTTCATTTCTTTTCTCCATTTTATTCCAGTTTGTCTCAGAATATTTCTAGTAGACAAGGCTAGAAAGGTTCCAGTGAAATTCCTTGGGGGTGAAAAGCTCAAATATCCCAGAACACAGAAGCAGGCAATCAGAGTTGCATATGCTGATAAAACTTCATGTTCAGAATGCACATCTGTCAGAAGAGGAGATCTTCCTAGCCAGATTTTATAGGAAGTTGGATGAGGAAGCAGATGGGATTAATAATGTTAGGTATAACTAATACCAGCAGTTACTACATTCTGGTTATGGAAGTGACCCAATTTTACAAAGAAGTGGAGTTGATCAAATAATTTGGACCAAATCAAATAAATAGCTGGAAAGTATCACAGCCCATAATTAATACAACCAGACAAGAAATTGCAGAGAATATAAAATTAAGTATTCTGGTTTCCTTTGGTTTGAATATACAATTGGTTCTAAACTTTAGGGCAGTTGAGTACTTGCTGGCCCTCTGTAAACCTGTTGCATTTGCACCAATGGTAAATATTAAGGAAGCATTTGAGCTCAGTTTTATGTGGATCCAGAATTATAATTTGTTTTTCTTGGTCAACCATAAGGTAGCAAAAATGATAGTCCAATTTTGGGACTCTGCTGTGGACTACACTTAAATAGCATGTTCTTTTCAACAGCAGAGAATTTAGATCTAGACTTGGTATATGGCATATCAGATAGTAGAGATATTTAGGCAATGGAAATTGTTTCTTCCTATGTGCACATGAGGAATACAACATATTTAAAACAGTAAAAATGCATGTTTTCTTTTTTTTAGCATTTTATTATTATTATTATCATTTTATGATGCAGTTCCATAGGCTCCTGGTATTTCCCTTATCCCAGCCTCAATTCCCCCTTTTCCCCCACCTAGTTTCTCTATATCATTACTATAGTATAGTTCTTCATACACAGTCATATGTCCATCATTGCGGGCATGGACAATGGCAGAGAGTCCATCATCCTATTGTCAAGATATAGTAAACAATTTCATTGTAAGTCCATCTTTGGATGTAGAAATGCATACTGCATTGTATCGTCACAACTGGATGTTAGTCTCCGTTTTACAGCTACTGTACATCCCCTCAAATGAAAAGTCATAATGCAAAATCAACAATAGAAAAGTAGAAATTTACAATGCCATGAAGTTAAATAAAATTTTACAGCTACTCCATTACAGCTACTATAAATCCCCTTAAATGAAGAGCCACAAAACAAAATCAACATTGGGAAGAAAAAAGAAATTAACAACACCAAGAAGTTAAATAACATGCTACTGAATGACTGACGTGTCAACTCAATAATTTTGTATCATTAGGAGGTAGAAATTTTTTTTTTCCATTTTGTTATTTCAGTACAACTAATGCATAAGATTCTGAGTGGCCTTCTTGAGGATGTGTTGAAGATAGAAGCTGCTTTTCCTCATTCTGCTTTGAAGTTTAAGAAGGAACTAAAGTATAAAAAAGAGCGTTAGTAATTCCTACCTTTTTAGCTTTCTCTAAGTTCATTCTAAACTGGGAGTTTATAAACACCTGAGAAGGTTCTTAATTTTGATAATGTATTCTTAAACAATGTCTCTCTTGTGTATGTGCTGGCTCTTAACTTTGACAGTGTGCCATTGAGTAATGTCTCTTGTGTATTTCCTGGATTTCTTATTAGTATTTATCAATGATAGTCTGGAACTGCAGTCACAATACAGACAGTGTTTGCTAGCAGACATTGAAATATTCTTAAAAAAAATTTGATGGTGACACATCATTATGAGGTCTTAATAGAATTTACATTTTTGAAGACTTACTTATTTTTTCTATTAGAAAGTCAGATAGACAGAAATATCTTCCATCTGCTGTGTCACTCTCCAAGTAACTGCAGTGGTCAGAACTGAGCTGATCTGAAGCCAGGAGCTTCTTCCAGGTCTCCCGTGTGGGCATAGGGTCCAAAAGCTTTGGGCCGTCCTCCACTGCTCTCCAAGGCCACAAGCAGGAAGCTAGATGGGAAGCAGGGCTGCTGAGAAGATCTCAGCATGTGCAAGGCAAAGACTTTAGCCACAAGGTCACTGTGCTGGACTCTTAAAATTTCTTGTTTTTTTATTTGTGGCACCACTATCACAACTTATAGGGAAATAAACCTGTAATATCATAGGAGAAAAGA